GAACTTATGATTTTCGAAAAAAGGATGTTTTTGGATAACTGAACAAGCACAACCTAGCATGAAATATGTCGATGGACGATGAAATGACAAACCAAACTATCAAGAAATTAGGGGTAAAATGTGTGCATTTAGACCCGAACGATCGGAAAACCGAACACAAAGATACGTTCGTTTGAAGTTACCACCTAGGTTATGATTTTAAAAAAAAAAAAATTATGGACCAAACCGCCGGGTTGGGCTGCAGTTTTGGACTAAACTGCCCCCCACCCCCACCCCGAGCGGTTTTCAAAATCGCCCCTTAACCATGCGATTTTCAACGAAAACCGCGCCCTGACCCAGCGGTTTTTTTTTAAACCGCGTGGTGGGGTGGCGGTTTTCGAAAAAAGGATGCTATTTTTGGAATTTTTCGGGACTGGGTGCTATTTTTGTGAAAACAAATTAAACAGTGTTATTTCTGGAAAAAAAATTCATATAACAAACGTTGTATTCTACAATGCATCAAGTTCGACTATATGTGTAATATTATAGATGCGTTCACAATAATACATCTATTTAACAATCAGAACTTCCAAACGACCTCTTATACTCGTACCGGTTGTTTGGATTGAGTTGATTTTTAAATCAATGGATTTTGTTTGTACCTGTATTCATATAAAAATTACAGTTTTGTACTAAAACATAAAAAGATCTTTAAATTTAGTACCTAATTGTTTTTTGCATATAAGTCATAATAATATAGATGGAAAATTACATTTAGTACCTAAAAATTTTGTCTCTTACTTTTTTATATCTAAACTTTTTAAGTTTAACAAATATATCCAATTTTGTAACTGCAGGCTACAACTAATACTACCTCGAATAAATGGACATTTATACTCAACTCATGCTTATTTATAGTATGAAAAACATTATCATTTTCATTCCCTCCCAAACTCATCTACAAACCCCAAACTCATATATTTCACTTATACCCTGCCCATAAATAATTAATAATTAATGTGTTTACTAGATAAAACTTGATGATTTCCATCACTTGGACATCTCCCCTCTATAAATGAAAAATGTTATATTTTGAAACCCCCTGCCTGAGGTTTAATTTAGGGTCGATCCCGAATCCCCAATATAGTTTAATTAGCGCAGGTCCTTAACATTAAAATTTAATAAGTTATTTTGATCACTTAAATTAATCTTGATGGTTAAGGGTAATTATGAAATTACATTTCTTTTATATTTCAAATTTTAATTAAATTTAATGAATTGAATCAATAAGAAGGTATGGATTTATTTTCTTTTCCCTTTAAAACCTCCTTTATACTATGAAATGGATTCGAGATAGATTGTACAGTTTTATCCCTTGCCTTCTGTCGTTTGACTTGTTTAACATCGTCATTGGAGTTATTTTACGCTAGGTTTGGTCTTATTTTGACATGTTTCAAACTTTAACAGGTAGAATAGGCAAGAGGATCGAAAGTCGGACAAAAGGGATCGAAAAGGGAGCAAACGGAGAAAAGTGCAAGGATCGCGGGCTGGCAACAATTGTCATGGGCATTGGACAGTGAAGTTGACGAGGAAACAGTGAAGATTAAAAAGTTTCAAGAGCATGTTCACGTGACTCTACGCGAATGCACCACAATAAAACCCCCAATTAAGGCCCAAGTATATACCTTAATTGGGTGCAGTACATGGCAAGTATGTTTAAATATCGACCTGGGCCGGTTCATCTACCCCTACTTCGATTGCGTTAAACATTATCTAGCGGTTGGTTTTTTGTGAAAACAACAATCTATAGCTAAAGCGATTGCAAAGGTATAAGTCTTTGACACTAATTGAGAAGGCTTCACCCGGGTGTTGCTCCTCCTAGCTATCAATCACGACTTGTTGGGTCGAATATTCGTGTGTGGTGAGGGGGTTTTAAACCATAGGGAAGTGTAACAAGTAGCCAATGCCGCTCTCTTAGTCTCTAGGTTGAGGGAAGGGGATATGATCCAAGCCACCGATGTGACTCTCTCAACCTATTGACTAAGGGTTGGTTAGACTTCACCCTCGAATCGGAGTTCGGACGGCCACCCACAACCAAACCCTAAGTGCTAATACGAAATAAGAGGTTTGCCCTACATTAACCTAGATAGGAGACAATCAATTGCCTAAGAAAACCCAGCATTCAACCCTCTTTCAAAGAAAGGAAGGGGGTTTTCTCTCTACCTAGGTTAGAATGAAAATTTGATTGATAGGCTTTCACACAACACAATCATTCATGAATAACACCTTCACATTCACATTAAACAAAACCACACAAAAATCATTCAATCCATACATGCATTCATATATTGTAGCTAGGGTTTACAAACACCCAAGTGAAAGAAGGGACTACTCCATGCTAGAGAAATAGAATATAGAAATAGAAACAGATAGAGTAGAAACGACATCTCTTATGTCAATGACACCAAAGGAAAGGGGATATTAAATCAATCGAATTGGGATATGGATGAAATATAATGAAATAGAGCCACTTTTAGGTTCCCTATGAAATGAGGCATGGAACGAAGACACTATGAAGAAGTTCCGGGAGTTACGAAGGGAAAACACAAGAGAGAAGATGGAAAACCATAAAAGAGATGCTAGACTTGCTCCTTGTGTTGAAAAGATCCTCCTTTGGGGGAGGAATTGTCAATTCCATGCTTGAAGATGAAACCCTAGCTTCTCCTCTTCTTTGGTTCCTCACTTTCTCACTCTAGAAATCTAAACAAGAAAATTTTCTCATACTAGGTCTCCTCTTTTATTTTGAAAACTAAAACTCTAGAACCCCCCCCCCCCTCCTTTCTCACTTCCCCTTCTATACCCAGATCGGGCTCAGATCACGGTCCCAGTTCATGGCCGTGAACTCAAGGCGGGGACCGTGATCTCGGGCCAAAACGCGCCGCTTCACTAACTCATTTCACGGTCATTGGCTTGAGTTCACGAACTTACGATCGTGAACTGGTTTGAGTCCAGTGAAACCGAAAATTACGCTGGAAACTCCGCACTTCACGATCTCGGGGCAATTGTCTTTGGACTTTTTTTGCGCTTTTCCACCTCCACCGACCCGAAACTTATCCTCGACCTTCCCACACGTGCTAGGACCTGAAATATGACAAAAACAAGCATACCCTAGCGTAAAATAGGCCGAGAGACGATGAAATGCAGAGTCAAACTATCAAGAAATAAGGGGTAATATTGAAGAAGGCCGAATTTTTCGGATTGTTCTTGTTCGTCGGGGAAGTATACGAAGTGATTGTTCTTGTTCGCTGGGGATTATTCTTGTTTTTCAGAGAAGCAGAAGAAGGGGCTAAAGAAGGGTCAATAATGTAATTTGAGAATTTAGACACAAAATTTGCATCTTAATCCAAACATCACAATTGGCCCAAATTCCTTAATTAAATCTCTGTGTTTTTAAACAAGGGATTTTGACTCAAAATCCTCACAAATAACTCAACACAAATTTCGTAATCCAAACGACCCCTTACAGAATAGATTCAAGTACCTGATATGAATTGGAAAGTGTGTGGGCCTAGGGCTGGCTATTTGGTCCGGGTTTTTTGGTTTTACCCAAAACCGGACCGTATAACTCGGACCGAGACCGGATAGTAAACAATCCAATCCAATCTTTGGGATTAGATTTGAGGTAAAAAACCGTTCGGGACCGGATCGAAAACTGAATAACACCGGATAAGAGAGCTCAACACCCAAAACTTAAGGGTAATTTGCATAAACGGTCACAAACCTTTGCACTTAGTACAAACTTAACCAACTCCTCACCCTTTCAGGCCTTAGGCCACTCAAATCCCCACAAGCTCAAGACCGAGTTGGGAACGGACCGGGTCAAGTCCGGATCGGATCAAGACCGGACTATATCCAATCCAATCTTTGGTCCTTATATTTTCAAAAAAACTGGACTGGACCGGATCAATTTGGACCAATTTAACCAGACCGAACTGGACCGTATAGCCACGCTATGTGAGGCAGTGTTTACAAAATCGTCCAAATTGAAAAAACCTCTTATTGGAGCCCAATCAAACATGTAACGCTTTTATAAGTATGCCTCAGCTTGAGGCAGAACACTTCACTTTCCCCCTCCTATGTGTTATAATAAGCAATCGATTGCTACGTGGGTTAGCCAGCGGTTCCTTTATTTGTTATCCTGTTAAGGCGTTGTTATAGTGTTTTAGATGAATTGGTGTATCCGAATTTGAATGGAGAGGGGGGAATTAGATGTTTGATTGGTATGGTATGCACACCTAAACCATAAATGAGTAGGAAGGGCCGGGGTGTCCTCTCCCGCAAAACAGTTAGCTAACTCTGCACTGCAGCCCACCGGCATTTCCCTCCCACGTTTCACCCTCTCCACCACCACCGCCAGCCGGCCTCCGTCGCCGCCAACAACCCAACAAAGGAAAAAGAGAAACGTACGCAGCATTTAAGTCTGCTGAAACCTGATCCCGAAGAGAGAGAGAGAGAGAGAGAGAGAGAGAGAGCGAAAGCGACTCTCGTCCCACTCTCTTTGCCCCCTGCGTGCAGCTCACGTGCCATTTGGTTTCCCGTCCCGAACAATAACATCAAAATGCAGACTCTCTTAACTACTATTGTCCCAGTCCACTGCTTCTACTTTCTGTGGTGTTAGGGAGAATGCAGTTGTTGTTGTTGTTCACTTGTTTCCCTTCCCTTGTGTGATCTGATCTTACTTACTTTTACTTAACAAACAAACAAAACCAGCAAGGAAGCAATCCCCAACCCCATTCAGTCATTCTCGCCCTTCCTCCATTTTCCCTTCCCCCTTTCTCTTCCTGCCTGCCTGCCTGCAATATCTTTCTTCTTTCTCCCCCCATTTCAGTTTCTCACTCACAGTCAGTCCCCACCCCGCAAAAGTACCCAAAAAAAAAAACAGAGAAGGCACAATCAAACTCAGATCCTTCCATTCCACTGGACACAGAGCGAAAACTGAAGCAATGTCGCTATCCATTCCGATGTCTCCTCCTCCTCCTCCAGTCCCCTTCCTTCCTCTGCCCGCCGCCGGCATCTCTCCTCCGCTCACCACCGCAACCCAATCGCAAGCACACCCCTCCTCCTCCTCCTCCTCTTCGCCATTGGAGAACCTGAAGCCCAGCATTCTGATCATAATCCTCATCCTCTCAATCACACTCCTCGTCTCCCTCTCCCTCTGCCTCCTCCTCCGCCTCCTCAACCGCCGCTGCCTCCACCCCCTCTCCTCCTCCTCCTCCTCTGCTTCCTCCCCCACCGCCTCCTCCAACCGCAGCCGCGTCTCCCCTCAAATCACCGACTCTTCTCTCCTCGACTCCCTCCCTCTCTTCACCTTCGCCTCCATCCACCGCCGCTCAGCCTCAGCCTCCTCCTCCTCGGGCGATTGCGCGGTCTGCCTCTCCAAATTCGAGCCAAACGACCAGCTCCGCCTCCTCCCTCTATGCTGCCACGCCTTCCACTCCGCCTGCATCGACACCTGGCTCCTCTCCAACCAGACCTGCCCTCTCTGCCGCTCCCCGCTCCACGCCTCCGATTCCGACATCCTCAAGGCACTCTCCGGGAGCTTCCGCCTGGAGATCGGCTCCGTCAGTCGGCGGCAGGGGGACGACGTCCGGCGCGGGGGATCCTACTCCATGGGGTCCTTCGACTACGTTGTGGAGGAGGAGGAGGAATTGGAGGTGGTAACGGAGGTCCAGAGCGCGGGGCACAGGAGAAGCGTGTCGGAGAACAAGGAGGATGAGCTGGCGGCGGAGGTGGGGAGGAGCAGCTGGCTCAAGGACTGCGTGGACAGGCTGTCGTCGTCGTTCCGGAGCTCAGGGAGGTTCTTGAGCAGCCGGCGGAGCGGGGAAGCAGCAGCAGCGGTGGGGGAGTATGACGTGGAGGAGGCTAATAGGTACGGGGAAGAGATCAGCGAGCTCTTCCGCTGGTTCTCGGGTGTGTGAATTAATGAAATTGATTTTCTTTCGCCTCTCTAGTCTAGTCTACCACACTCAATAGGCATAGGCTTGTTAGGTTAGTAGGGTCCCCCTCCCCTCCCCTCCCCTCCCCTCCTTTGAATTTTACTTGGATATACTCTACTGTCATCGTTTTCACAAATCACAATCCTTCCTTCCGCGCGCTACCGCTCTCTTCTTTCTACTTCTACTTCTACTTCTTCTTCTACCGCTGCTGTCATTGTGAATTATATTTGGCTTGCAAAGATATTACGCTTTGTTTTCTGCTATCAATCACTAAAAAAGGGGGGCCAAGGGAAGGGAAGGGCCAGGGGGCTACTTGGTCAAAGCGGAACAAGTTATGTTTGTTTTTATGATTGAATGGAAATGATACCTTGCTTTCTCTGCAGTTCTTGCTACCTTGCTTGTTGTTTTTTGCCTTTGATTTTGGCTTGTGCCTTTACAGTCCCTTTTTTTTTCTTTCCCTTCTTTCGTTTGTTTGTTTTCTAAAAAGAAGAAGCTAGCTAATCAGATTGCAATCGAGCGAGTTAAAATTCATACATGAGCCTGGCTGCCAAGAGTTGAAATGCGAGGGAGTGGAGTTGTACAGACAAACATATCAATGCAACTACAGATGGTGGTGGTATAAAAGGAATTGCTGTGTTGTATGTATGATGTACAAACAAACATAGCATATAGCATGTGGGGGTGAGACATTTTAGGGCGTGGTTACGACATGCATACTATATCAATGTATATATTAAGGGGAGGCGAGGTGGGGATGGTTGTGTCCAGCACTAAAATGGTGAGTAGTGAATCAGAAATAGGATCTGGCACTGGCAATGGATGCCGCTAGCTAGTTGCCACAGCCACCTCTCCTCTCCTCTCCAGTCAATGGGTTACGGCACGGGAAGGGAGAATTTAAGTAGGAAATGTGCTCTCATTAAGAAAGAGGACACTCACTGTCACTGGATGGACGCTAAGTTTGGGGGCCCACCTCAGAATTGGGCTCGCCTCCTTTCTCTCTCACCACTTGAAGGAGAAGGAGAAAAAATTCCACCCCAAAACATGTATTTGTTACTTCTTTTTTTCTCTAGTTCAAATATCACCACCAATATTAATCTTTAGCCAATATGCTATTTATATTAGGTAATCATCGATATGTCATTTGTATACTAAAATGTATATTCTGTTAGTTGAGTTGTTAACTTTTAACTGTGAGACTATTCAACGCCCAACCAGTGTCTAATAGGATCTTACAAGGCACGATGACTTGGATAATTAAGACTTTGCTTCTTTATTTACCGAAACAAAACATAAAAAAATAGTAAATGTAAAAATGGGGTGAGCCACCCATTTCATTTCATTCTCACCCATCCTCTTCGTCACTCTCAAGCTACAAACATAGGGAGAATCCTCGACATAAAATCTCCCAAAATCGACAAGGCTTGTGGAATCATCAATCTACGTCAAAGTGAAGTCAGAGGCTTCGTATCATTGAGAAGTAAAATTGAAAGAGTGAAATGGTTGAATCGAAGTTGAGATTAAACTTCGAGTCATCATCATCCTTCATCACACGTGATTTGAGAAAAAGTTCGAACCAATGAAAAAGAAGCAAGAATGTTGTGAAGGAGAAGCAGGAAGTAAACGTATATCTGAGTCTTCTCCTTAAGGAATCACAAAATGCTACGAAGAAGAGGCTCTAGGGAATTTTTCTAGGGTTTTTTGGGGCATGGATGCACTACCAGCAAACATCGAAATTCAAACTCAGCTGACCCAAATGGTGCAACAATTAGGGAGATTTGTTGGAAGGAATGATGATTACCCTATGCAACATCAAAAGATTTGTTTTTTTAGATTGTCAGCTCCATTCCAGGAGATGAAGCTACTAGATATGCAATCTGGCTATGACTTATCCCTTTACACTCGTAGAAAGCACGAAACAGTGGTTAGATTACCATCCACAAGGCACCTTCACCACATGGGAGAACCTAGCACAAGCCTTCATTGAAGAATTATTTCCCACCATAAAAGACAAAGAAGCTGAAAGATGTAATTACACAATTCCAACTGAAGGAAAGAGAAACATTCTATGAAGCTTGAAGGATATTCTAAGAGCATCTCAAAGCATGCCCCATCACGAATTTACACCTTAGCGACTTGCTAAGTATTTTCCAAAGGATTGGATCAAGATACTACAATGATGGTAAACCAATCTGCTGATGGTGATTTCACGATAATGATAGGAGCTCAATGCCAAAGCCATTTTGCCACACGAGCATGGAAGTCAAAGAATTGATCTAGACAAGTAAGACAACCAATGATGTAACCATTAAAATTTGTTCGAGAAATTGAGGAAGTTGCTATCATCTTGTGTGAGCAGATGAAGGAACTTTCTCATCAACTAAGGAAAACTTCAATGAAAAGAAAGAATGAACTAGTGGTAGTCTTGTTTGTGTGTGAAGCTTGTGGAGAAGAGGGCCATGAAGGAATTAAATGTTGGAGCCATCGACGGCAAGGACATGTTTATTCTACTTAGATTAACCAAGGCTACCAACCAAGGCCACAACAAAGAAGCTATGCTACTTACCAGAGATTCACCCAACCTCACATACTTTATGGTCAATGGCCAGTCCCAAGAGGAAAAAAGCCTGAAGATTACTCAAATATCACATCTACCAATGCACCTTTTGTTCATGAAGCACAATAGAACAAAAAGCCAAATCCACCTGGATTTGGAAATCAAACTCAATATAAGGTGTAAGGAGGAAGTTCTTCCAATCACCAACTTACTAGATTCGAGAAACATGAGGGAACAGTCCTTGGTTTGCAAGCAACCTATCAGAATATCGAATGAAAACTTGCACTCTTGATTGATACCTCAAAAGCCCTATTGTGCCGGGCCTGGTCCGGTTTCCGGTTTTCTCGTTCCGATACGGCATCCTGGTCCCTGGAAGCAACAACCTTACCTTTGTTGAGAAGCATTGCAGAAACAGAGAATCCTAAAAAGAAACTCAAGAGGTTTTTAGAAGAAGAAGACACAATGACCATCAAATCTACTCCTAAGGGGTTTGAGGACATCGTGTATGTAGGATAATAGATAGAGGATTTAGAGCATTGTATGATCAAATGTCCTATCGATAATAATAAAAGAAGTTTGGATTTGTGGTGACTGTTTTTACGGATCGAGCAATCTGAGGATCGATAGAGGAAGAAAATGAAAGCATGAAACCAAACAAGACACACGAATTTACGTGGTTCACTAACATGATGCGTGTTAGCTAGTCCAAGGGCAAGAGAGAGCCAGTTTCACTATATTTTTAGGAGATATAGATTGCGGAGGAGTATGAGAAATATTTATAGAACTTCTTCATGTGGTCTAACCCCAATCAAATATGGTAAAGAATAAAGTTACAAACTAGACCACAGTGATTTCCAGTCGTTGCCAGATAGTCCAATTCAAGTCATATCAACAAATCTCCACCTTGACTTGAATCCTCCATTATCGTTGATGTACTCTGATCCTTCTCTCTCTCTCATGCCATCAATGCCTTTAGGGACGATTGATCGTGGAAGTTTTAATATTTGTAAATCAGTCATATTCCAAAGGAGCAGATGTTGGAGCCATCGACGACAAGGACATGTTTATTCCACTTAGATTAACCAAGGCTACCAGCCAAGGCCACAACAAAGAAGCTATGCTCCTTACCAGAGATTCACCCAACCTCATATACAATTCTCTAAATCCTCTATCTATTATCCTACATACACGATGTCCTCAAACCCCTTAGTACTGAATTTGATGGTCATTGTGTCTTCTTCTTCTAAAAACCTCTTGAGTTTCTTTTTAGGATTCTCCATTTCTGTAATGCTTCTCAACAAAAGTAAGGTTGTTGCTTCCAGGGACTAGGATACCGTACCAAACCGGCCGGTCGGAACGGGAAAACCGGAAATTGGACCAGGCTAAGGATGTAGTAAAGTGGCTCAGTCATATTCCAATGGTCATAGTATCTTAGGCTACTTAGGCTCTGTCGTTATCTAGTCAATCTGTTACTTAGCAGGTGGGTAGTTGGCGATTCCTATACTAAAGATCGATAGAAAAAGAGGTACTATGGGTAACTTCGTCGCCCTATCTTAGGTCTAACATGCAAATGAATAACTATGTTGGGTTTATCGGATATGGTGCGTGAGCTCTCTAATCTTGTGGGCCTTTTTTGTTATCCCACGCCTCCGAGTACGTCCCCCAAGACACATTGTCCCCTCATTCAAAGCTCACGTATCTGGGGCATTATGAATTGAGCTCATTTCAATAATTGATACCTATCATGCAAACTAAAGATATGGATCGATACACGATTGCGTCCCTTAAAGCATCGTCTAGAAAGGTTTCCTTGTATTAGAGGTACGATCGCCTTGTCCACTACAAGACCATAAGATCATTCATCTACCCTTGATCTGCCAGTTGGCTCGACCCAGTCTAACTCTAAAACTACTACCCAACGTCGGCTCATCATATGCTATTAGAGAAGAGTAGGCAACTTACCCAAGCATAATTAAGAATAAATGAAACATATAATAACTAGAACAAAAACATCCATTCATAAATACTAATATTATTTAGTCATCTACATTATAAACCAAATTTAGGGTTCGGGGGTTTTAACCCCTAGTATCTTGGGATATTACCCCATGAAGGGGGGAAGAAAAGACATACAAAGTGGGGAAGAAATCCGGGTAAAATACCTCATGCGCCACTTAAGTTTGAGAATTGGGGTAGGCATACCACTTAAGTTTGAATAGGGCGTCGGGTATCACTGAACTCTATTATATGTGGTACCCGACGCCCTATTCAAAATTAAGTGGTATGTCTACCCCAATTCTCAAACTTAAGTGACACTCGAGATATTTTACCCAAGAAATCGTAAAAAAGGGGCTTCAATTAATGGAAGTCCTCTTCTTCTTCTTCTTCTTCTTCTTCTTCTTCTTCACCAAGCTTCTACTTCTCTCTC